ATCTGAGAAAGGTTAAATAACCTGCCCCAAAGCCACTCTGCTGCTAGATTGGGCACCTGCATTTATGTTCAAGTTTGTTTAAATCCCATGCTTTTTAAAACTACTAAAATTCTAGGTCTTACTTGTTAAGATTAGAAATGGTACAGAGAATTTAAAAGGCTTATGTTTTCACCTTTACTATCACCAGCTGCTAAAATAGTATTTACCATTATTAGATATTTGTTAAATCCTTGTGAGTCAGGACATCACTAAAGATCACAAAAGTTCCCTGTAGAAATAAATGCAGACTTGGAAAGTCCCCCTATGTTTGGTTGCATCTACTCTAGGTTCTTGATCTAAATGGGGCCCTCCTATTATTGAAACATTTTGGGGTATATCAACATTCTCCAACAGTTAACGATGGTAGAATTATGCATTTGACTAAAAAAATTGAAGAGAATTTTACCTATCTTCTTTTCTTTTAATTTAAAATTTTCCCACAAAGGAATACAAACTGGTCCAACCACTATAGGAAAGCAGTGAGGAGGTTCCTCAAATTACTAAAAATGGATCTACCATATGACCCAGAAATTCCACTCCTAGGAATCTACCCAAAAGACACAAAAACATTAATTCACCCTATGCACCCCTATGTTTAATGAAGTATTATTTACAATAGGTAAGATATGGAAACAATCCAAATACCCAAAAATAGATGAGTGGATCAAGAATATGTGGTATATATACACAATGGAATACTATCCAGCAATCAAAAATGATAAACATATGCTATTTGCAGCAACATGGATAATAGGGCTTGAAGGGATTATGCTCAGTGAAATAAGCCAGAAGGAAAAAGAAAAATATCAGATGGCTTCACTTTTAGGAGAAATCTAGGGGAACCAAATAAGAAATCAAGAAAAAAAATAACAGTAACAATTTTTAAAAAGCAAAATTAGCAGGCAACTATAAATTAGAGACATTCTGAAAGGGAGGGGAAAGCAGAGGAATCAAAACAAGGGAGGGAAGAGTACAGGGACTATGGAGATGGTTCACGGGTGAATTGGTGGTGGGAATTTTACCTGAGAGGAGCAAGCATACATGGTACAAAAAGGAACAATGATGTAAAATATATATAAGTTAATATTAAAAGAAAAAAATAAAAATTTCACACAATGTCCATTATATTACTAGTAAAATAATGACAACATATTTTTAATATTAATCCCTTAAAAAGACAAAAGTCTTGGCGACCCAAATAGATCAGGACAGATTTTTTTCTTCTTTTGATACCTTTAAGTTCTTTAAATTGTTTATAGCTACAACTCTGCAGTAAATTTCTAGGAGGATTAAGCTTCAAGAGTTTTCCCAGTTTTGGCTCCCGAATTTCAATTCCCTACCGAATAATATATATTCTTGGACTTACTAAAGATGACACTGAAGGTTTAGTTTCTAGAATTTAAGATCTGGTCCTATAACAAGAAAAGAAAGACAGAGAATAAGAACTATATATAAAATGCCATTATCAGAGCACAGAATAATTCTTAGTTTAGTATACAAAGCACACAAGATGAATCTTTGATGGATGAAGCAATATTTTCTACCAATCCCCAATACAAAGGTGGATTTCAAAAGCCAAAAGATATTTTTTTAAATCTGACAAAAGTGACTTCTAGATAAGAAAAATCTCTTTCAGAAAGACAATGGTGCTCTATATACCTCAGACCATAATTAAGTATTCTTGACTTGAATATAAACAGCCAGTAAACACTCTTCATTTTCTTCCTGATGAATGTAAGTAATATAGATGAGAAGTTATTTTAAAGTTACTACAAACATGGGGTTATAAAAAGTGTGTTAGCCTAAATGTGCAGAAAAATACAAGTCTTATTCACAGGGAACAAGCGCTACTACAAAAGTCTATTTGTAAACAGATGTATTTTTTTTTCAGAATTCAGAACATATTTTCACACACATTTTCACAAACAATGTTGTAATGGTGATTAATTCCCAGCCTGGTCCACAAAGGCTATAAGGCTGTCAGCGACAACTATTTATCCCACAGCCATGTTTTACATGAATGGTACTGGTAGTTTAAGTGAAGATAATGCTAGTCCAATGCTTGTCCAATGGCTCTTCCTCACTGGGAGCCAAAACTCTCATGTGAGTCCCTCCTCTCCACAGAGGCTCTTCAGCTGGCAAGATGCCACCTCCCAGGTGATATCCTCTTCACGTTGTGGTCCATGTCTAAAGACCAGGTAGTGAGGGGTGGGAGGTTTCAAAGGCCGAGTTCCATGCCATCCCAGCTCCAGAGCTCCCAGTATCACTGTATCATAGGGATCCCCAATAAACCTCCTGCAAGTAAATCTCCATCTCAGAGACTATTTCTAGGATCTAAGATAAATAGCCAACACTTAGAAAGCCCATATTTTAAATCAGACACAGTTCAAATATACAGATATTACATATGACTATATATATTACATGCATGTATATATATAGTCATGTATATAATATACAAAAGATGATACAGATATCTCACTATGTGTATTGGTAAGCATGATAATCTAATCCAGATTCTAAATATGTAGAAATTGAGGCTTGGAGAAGTCAAATGACTTGTCCAAGATCATATGGCAAGTCGTTTGAGGAGCTCAGATGTGAATCTAGGTATACCTAATGCAGAGCAGGTCCCTATATTAATACTAGAAAGAGCTATTAAATTAGTTAAAGTAGACTCCAATGCCCAGGGTTTTTGGTGGAAGTCAGCAATGAGCGTAACGATGAGCCATGGTCATCCATTAAACAGGAATTTATAAAGACTTGGGATCAAGGTCCACTGAAAACTAGATAATGTAATCACAGGTTCATATATTTTTAGGCCTGAAGCAAAAGAGTGGAGGCCTAATGGAAGCAGAATTCTAGAATGAAATTACATAGCTATAATCTACTGCATGATTACTAGATCCTAAAAATGACTGGCAAATCTTACCCACCTACAATCAAAATGCTACAATAAGTATAGACAGATGTTTACTCTGGAGGGGGAAGACAGTGCTTCCTCACCTTTTAGTCCAATCCTTGCAAAAAGCTTCATAAACCAGACCCTAAAAATGTACAAATAAATTTCTCAGTATGGGTACAAAGTTCTTACAATTAACGTTCAACTAACTCAAGAGGCGTAACTGGCAACCAGCTCAACTCCTTCAACTGCAACCACACCAGAGCTTCCCAAAGCTTTCCCTAGCAAGCAATCTTCTTTTATAGAATAAGTAGTTATTTATACCCACAGACAAACAGAAAACTAAGAGCTAATATTACACTGCTCTGGTGGCCACACTGCTCTGGTGGCCACACTGCCCAACAAGTACAAGACATAAAAACATTCTATAAACTAAACAACTACAAATCAATACTATTAACTTTAAGTGAAGTCATTCAGTTTGTACGCCTGCCACAGTAGATCACAACTGGCTTGAACACTGAGAACAAGCCATTTAAAAAATTTAATAAGAGGTAGATTTACTATGGTCTCTGGCATAATTGCTCAATTTGTAATATTCATGACTACAAAATGTAATGTCACAGTTAAGTAAAAAATTGAAATATACTTAGAAAGTCAACAATTAATGTCATTTTAAAAACCAAATATAATTGGGCCTTATCAGTTGAATCTGAGAGTTTGAATATCTTGCAATTCCTTAAAAATTCACCAAAGTCAGGCTTCCCCTGGTGGCGCAGGCGGTTGAGCGCTGCGCTGAGAAGCTGTCCACAACCTCTGCAGCGCAGGTTCAATCCCGGCCAGTTCCGGCCGGCTGACCTGCCAGGGTCCCACACGGTGCGGCAGACCTCTCCTGTCTGGTCCGCTGCTTCCCTCAGCAGTGTATTTCGTCAGTCTGCCTGTTCTGTTCCCCACTCTGTCTCTGGTGAATCCTCTCACCCTCCCGCGAATCTGGCCTGTACCCCAGTTCTTATATAAATAAATAAATAAATCTTTAAAAAAAAAATTCACCAAAGTCACCACTCTTTAAAACACATGTGACTAAGGTGGTGGACCATGACTGCTTTGGCGGTGGGTACACTGTGGTAATAATAACACTTGAAAGGGACAGGGAGGGTCTTATACTCCCAAAATTCAACCAACTATATAAATGAATATTACATCAAATAAATCAAATTAATAAAGCACAGCTTTAAGTGGCAAAATACCTGAAATTTTCTTATTTATCAATTTTGCACATAGAAAGGCTCAGCATCCATATTCAGTTATCATCAACTACAGTGGGAGATTCTTCAGATTAAGGTGGATCACCTCACATCATGTCAAAACCAAGAACTTGGTATCAGAAAATTCAGCCCTCTGCTCTAAGTTGTACCTTCTTTAGCCACAATTATAACAACATTTGGTTTTCTTTCTTTTTCCCCCTATTCATTAAAAAAAAAAGCTCCAATTCAGAAATAAAGATTCACAGAACTGCTAAATATACCTGAATTTGCCATTTCAGAGGAAAATAATAATAGGGACAGCATAATCAGGTTACTGTTTATAAATGAGGGGATACCACTAGCCTAAAAACTAGACTACCTTAAAGTAGTCTAATCATTTGGAGGAAAGGGAAAAAGAAACAGTCAACTTAAGCTTCCATAGAGATTTAAAAAAAAAATTAGCACAGTAAGCCAAAGCTATCAGCAGCACAGGAATGCAAGCTCCATGCAGACAGGATGTCCTCTCTAGACTAAGACTATGTCCTTTAATATCTAAGACAGCACTTTTAACACTATTTCCTGCTTAATATTTTTGAATGAATGCATGAATAAGACAACTATCTTTCATTAATCACATACTTTTCTTGAGGAACTCCCTAAGCTTGTTACAATTGTAATAAGCTTTTAAAACAAGACCCAGGGACTGGGTAGGGAAGGGACACTGAGCCTCACAATAACCCTAGGAGAGGACAAATATCACCAATACAATTCTTTCCATTTTACAAGTGAGGAAATTGAGGCTCAGAAAGACTGACCTTCCCAAGATGACAAAGCTCTAAATGGCTGAGCCAGGAGTCTGTCTTCCTTCCCCTCTGCCACATCAATACCAGAATGAAGTTTAGAGCTAGGAAAACAAAAGAACATGGAAAATACAGTCTGGCCAAAAGTCGTATTATCAAACATTCACAAATGGGTTAAGTTTGCTCCTGGGGGGAAAAAAGCCTTCCTATTTCAAAATTGCAGACACAGCCAGTGGGCCCTACACCTCTGTGTCTAATAGGCTACACTTCAATAGCCTGTGTTCACAGCGCTGTGGGGTTCCTCTAAGTGCAGGTGCCCTGTTTAAAAAGTGACTGATCTGCATATAGAATGGCTTCCAAACTAAAAGAGACAAGTTAAAAGCCAGATATAAAGCTCCCTTCATTAAAATATACCTATACTCCCTTCCCTGAAAAACTGCCTGCCCAGAAGATTTCAAATTGTCCAAGTAAGAAAAAAGTGTTTGCCCAGGACCCTATAATGAAAACCAGGTCTCTGCGGTGAGAATGACAATCTATCACATCTGCACTACTCCCTAGGTGTCCCCTCAAAAACAGCATTCAGGCACTACCTAAGATTATTAGGCTCCTTCTTAAAACGTGCAGCAGAATTACACAGAGGATGATTTTTTGAAAGTACAGGCTGGGAACGGAAGTCAAGTTCAGATTCTCTTCCTTCCTCAAGCAAGCAAGAGAATTTAAGAACACCCCTCCACACACACACAGAGACGCACACACCCTACAGTAAAAATGTCTCGGGGCCTCTACACCTGTGACAATCAACACAGCGAGCCTGGATTTGCAGGGATTTCAGGTTCCTCCTCACATGGGGGGCAGGACGCGGGGGTAACCGGAGCAGAGAGCAGAATGAACTGGTGCCCAAGTTTCAATCGGATCGTTCTTCTCAACTTGGGCAGCGCTTCCCTTCCTGCCTTCCTGCCTCTTCCCTCCTTCCCTCCGGACCAGGCACCCGGCGCGCTCTGGCCGCGCGGGCCCCGCGAGCCGGGCCCGAGGGCAGCGCTCCCGCGGCGCGGCCCCCGAGAGCCGCCCCGAGGCCGGGGCGCGCCCAGGGTGCGCGGCCGGGGCGGACAGGGACACCCGGCGGGGGCCGCGCGCGCCTGCCCGCGGCCGGGCGTGGGCTCGGGGCAGGGGCGGCCGCGGCGGGGCGGAGGGGCGGGGCGCGCACTTCCTGACTCGCATTGTCCACGCAGCGGCCGCGCCGCCCGCGCCCCGCGCCCCGCCGCCGCGCCGTGCCCGTCGGGGAGGAAGTTGGCGCGCGCCCCGCGTCCCCGTCTTACCGTTCTTGGCGTCGCCCGCGGCGGCAGCCCCCGCGGCGGCCGCGGCGTGGGCGGCGCCAGCGCCCGCGCCTCCGGTGCCCGCCGCGCCCCCGGTGCCCGGCGCGCCCGCCGCCGCCGCTCCGCCGCCGGCCGCCGTCGCCAGGGCCCCCCGGCCGCCGCGCCAGCCGCGCCCGCCGCGGCCAGGGCCCCGGCTCCATTTTCCTGCTCGTCCCCGCTGCTGTTGGCGCGTTTGTTTTTGCGGCCGCCTTTACTGTTTTTGGGGTTGGGCATGGCGCGAGCCTCCAGGTGTCCCGACTCAGCGGAGGGGGAGCCCCGCGGCGCGGGGCCGGCTGCGGAGGGAGAGAATGGGGGTGCGGGCCGGCGGCTCCCCCGGCGCCCGTCTAGCCGCGCGGCCCGCGCCGCGCCATCCCGGCCGCCGCCGCGCCCTCCCCGGCTTCCAGGGGCCGGCGCGCGGCCACCCGAGGCTCGAAGCCGCGCGGGCGCCGCGGGCTCGGGGCGCGAGCGAGGAGCTCCCGAGCGGGAGGGAAAAGGCGGGTCTCCGGCTTGTTTTGATTCGGCTTCGCTGACACGCTCTGGCCCCGCCCCCGGCCGTGACGTCACTCGAGAGCCGGCCTGGCCGCGCCCACCTGGTGACCTCACGCCGAACCGGCCAGCCCGCGTGACGTCACGCCACGCGCAGAGCCAGCCAGCCGCGCCGTCCCCGAGTGACGTCATTCCTCGGGCGCCCCCTCCTCTCGGCCCGTGGAGCTCGCGGAGTCTGCGCGCTGCTGCCGGGCCTGAGGCGGCCTGAGGGCAACCCGAGGCCGCTGAAGTTATTCGGTGACCGCCCCCCCCCCGCCCCCCGCCCGACCCCTGACCCCCACCTTAACACGAGTGAGACGTGAAATCTGGTTCAAAAACGTAGTCGAACAGGAATGGGAAACAAAGGATTTGGCTCGATGATCCCTTGAAAGACTTTGCCCTTCGGGAGCAGGTGAAATTCGGCGATTATGGGCATGAACAGCAGGGTCCCTGAATGGGAAGGGGACACGGTCTAGGGGTGAAACTGCCCTTTCAAGCTGGGCTCGCCATCCCAGGATGAAACTAAATGTTGCCGTGACCGAGAAGCACCCCCCGCCTCGGAGGAAACCCAGCCTTGGTGGAGACAGCTGAGCTGTCCTGAAAGATAGGTGACCCCCTCCGTGAGCAGGAGATGAGAAGGGGACACCTGTGAAGAGAGGCGATGATCTGAGGGCAGGAGACCCCGAGAAGTTTCATAAGGTCTTTTCCTGAAAATGAATTCTACCTTCTCCACAGATCAGCGACTTCACATCCACAGGTCCCAGCATCTTATTTCCCTCAGGCAGCTATAACAGACACCTTCCCCAAAGAGTTATCAAAAGGATAACCCCGTTTATTTCCCTCATCCAGCTCTAATTATGGTGTCAATTTATATGATTGCTGATTTCCTAATACTCAGTGAAAGCACACTCAATGAAATTTCCATTGGTAGATTTTATCAATCTTGGAAACTTCAAGAAACAGCTAACATTTGTTTGTTGAATGTATAAATTAGGTTTTTCCCCATAAATGGTTTCCCCAAACTATTTTAGCTGGTGATTTACAGTTTTCCCCTTCTCTAGTGTAATCTGTAATGAATCCAGCTAGCTCTTTGGAAAGACTCTGTAGCTGTGCTGAGAAGCATAAAGAGATAGGTAGGGAAGCACAGTGCCCTCCCAGGCTCACCAGGAGGCTTTTGACCAGGAGTGTTAGATATTCACAGTAGAGTCCACAACAATGCTTGAAGCAGAAGGGAGAAGTTCCTGATTCTTTGGAGCAAATGCTAGTTGGACTTCTCATTAAGAAAATGATGAAACTTTTAATTCCCTGATATTCATTAGAGGAAAGTGACCCTTTAGAGGACTGTACTAATTGATAGATGGATGAGTGGATGAGTGGACGGATAGGTGGATAGGTGGATGAGTGGATGGGTGGGTGGATGGATGGATGGATGGATGGATAGATGGATGGATTTGTGACTATTTTTTGTGTCTATTTCTCCCCTACCCTAGTGTCCTGTAAGCACTAGGAGAGCAAGGATTTTGCTCACTCTAGAGTCTAACAGAAAGCCTGACCCAGAGCATGTGTTTGCTTAAAACACTCTTATTCTTGTTGCATTTTTCTGAACCTAAAAGCCTCCACTAAATCATCAGTTTTCAAGGAAGTTGTCTCTGACAATCTAAAGCTAGACTCACCCCCTTTTCCAATCCCACCCCCACCCCTGTGCTCCCTGTACCTTCCCTTACAGTTGGTACACCTGATTGTGAAATTGCCAATATATTCCTCATCTCTTGGCTGGGCCCCTACTAGACTATAAACTCTAATGATGGTGGGAGCTATGTCTGTCATAGTCATTGTATCCTCGGTACCTAGTACAGTTACATGGTGCACACTAGGTATATATTGAATGTATGACAAATGCATGAATAAATAAGTGGATAAATGCTCTGAAGGTAACTAGTGAGATCTGGTTGCCTACTTGGATATGAGGGATGAAAGAAAGCATGAATTCAGTCAAGACATTCTGAAAACTGGAGGAAATTATGACGATGATAAATTAAATGGAAATTTCAGAAGCTATCCATGAAGATACTGAGTTAATAGCCCACTTAGACTTAACTTCATTATTGATATCCCCACTAGAGGTGATGAGAGATAGCAAAGTATTTTGATGATCTTGGCATTGGTCTTTTTTTTTTTTTAAGGCGATGAGAATGAAGAAACTGTAAGTTAGAGTACAAGAAAATTGAGGTAATTATTTTCTTGAATAAACACATTGCTGTCGTGCCATATTGGATCAGAATAAGTGTGCATGTACCCTGCAGACAGACATTCACACCAGCTGCCTCCCACCTCTCCATAAATGAGACTTAAGAATTGGAAACTTTCCCACAAAAATACCATACTTGGCTCAATACACACAGACATTCAGCCAGTTGCTGTTCTTGTTAATTGTGTAAGCTACCTCTTTCTCATTCAAACTGAAACCAAATGAAAAGGAGGAAAAAGAAGCTGGGCCCCTTCGCCCATGCTAATCTATTTTTAGGCTTATTCAAATTTGATGCAGAGGAATAGTTTTGACTATATGCTACCCCAAAATATACTAAAATCAAGATGTTAGAAACACAATTTAAGTGAGGTGAAAGGACTTCAGTTTCTACTTCCACAGGACTTGCAAAAATTTCACAGGAATTTTGCTGTTTTAGCCTTTTTATCATTCCCTTTTTCTCACAATTTCTGAATGGAAAGAAAGAGTAGGAAAGGGAATGGGGAGAAGGGAAGGCCCCCAGAGAGAGAAAGGGAGAGAGAAAGGGCGAATCTGCCTAAATAGTAAAAGAGTAACGCAAAGCCTTCCCCTCAGATGCTTCCAGAAAGAAATATGAAGAGCTCTAGGAAATGGAACTAGTCAATGTGCTTGGCTTCTCTTTTATTAATTTCCCTGATCAACTCACATTCTCTGAAATGAATTTCAATAAAATTATATCTCTACTCAAGCTTTCCCCCGGCTTCAACACTCAGGTCTTTGAAAAAGTAAATAAAGCACAGCAACAAATCAAGGTCATCAAAGGTAAACAACACGCTTGAGAAAAAGGACAAGTTAATCTTAAGAGATGAGTCAAACAAAATGAGTGGTCATTATTTCAGGTCTCTTGTTCTGATTGATTTTTTTGCTAACATTTGTGACTGTCTTCTGAATTTTTGAGTGTAGGTAAGTCATTTGGGCTACAGTTAGCCTGGTCTGCTAAAGTCATTTCAAGTAAATTGAGCAACCTGTATTATCTCTATGCATAAGTTTTTCTTTTCTGAAAATAGCATCTTCTATACCCACATGTTTAATATAAAGAACTTTGATGAAAATGGAATACTAACACAAATAATAATATAGATTACTAAATACCATTACACTATTCCCAATTATCAATGTATTTTTATTGTGCCTTCAAGATATTATCAATATATGTTAAGTATGTGCTCTCAAAAATCTCCCTTTGGGCCTTTAGTTGTGACTTTAAACTTATTTCCATAATCTATAAAAGTAGTCATTTTAAAAGACAGGAAATCTGTTCTGTGAGTCCTGAGCTTATGGCTTATTCCAACCTCTGTGTCTTCTTTGTTTATACGGTTGTCCCAACTCAGTATCAGCATTGTCCTGGGCCCCCAATCTAAACAGGATGTTTCTTATAAAGGAAAGATCAAGTCTAATCTTTTCCGAGACAGCTTTCCCTGGACTTGTACCACTCAATACTCTCCAAGCCATTGGTCATGGTTAGCAGGTTGTAAAGTCAGTTCAGAGAGTTTCTATGAGCATTTTTTAAAAACTGGAACAAAATTTAAAGTATCAGAATGCATTACATACAGAAATTAAGTATTGCTTTATAAACCATTTTATTTTGTAAAATACAGTTAATGCACACACACATATTTCTGATTTATGTAGGTTATCTTTCTATTGTCTTCTCACCTCAGGGAGAACAGTTTAAATTCTCCAAAGACAGGGATCATATCTCTCATCTTTTGTTTATCTTCTTGTGACATTAGCATCAAGAGGGCTTTGCTTAACTGGTCCAACCACTATGGAAAGCCTTGTGGAGGTTCCTCAAATTACTAAAAATGGATCTATCATATGACCTAGAGATTCCACTCCTAGGGAATCTACCCAAAGGACACAAAAACATTAATTTCAAAGGAAACCTTTACTCCTATGTTTATTGACGCACCATTTATAATAGCTAAGATATGGAAACAGATGAGTGGATCAATAAGATGTGGTATATATACACAATGGAATACTATTCAGCAATCAAAAAAGATAAACTCATGCCATTTGCAGCAACATGGATGGAGCTAGAAGGGATCATGCTCAGTGAAATAAGTCAGAAGGAAAAAAGAAAATATCAGATGGTTTCACTTAGAGGAGGAATATAGGGAAAACAAACAAAGGGTCAAAAAAAAAAAAGACAACACTTGCGGGCAAGCTATAGATCTGAGGCAGACAGCAGAGGAGGGAGAGGGGTCAAAACAGGGGAGGGAGAGCACAAGGAACTATTGTTTTGAGTTAACAGGTGCTATGGTGGTGGGAGATTTATGGGGATTACACCTGAGGGGAGAAATCAAATATTGTACAAAAATGAACAAAAATGCAAGAAAATAAAAAAGTTTAATCAATTAAAAAAAGAGGATTTTGCTTCCAAGTTCCATGCATATGCAAAAAACAAACTAAACTCAAAGACCCAAATTCTAATGGGGGCAGGGAGAAACACAACACACATACATGAAATCAGCTTCTAGCCTGAAATTAAATAAAAAATGGGTTGAGA